CCAAAAAAAAATTTAATAAAATTACTGATTTCTTCACTAAAAGACACCATTATGAGAGTACAAAGGCCAGTCACAGACTAGGGAAAAGGTCTGCAATAAATACATCTGACGGAGGACTCAGGTTCAGAAGCATCCATAAAACTAAAACATCAGGGACTTCCCTGGAGGTCCAGTGGTTAAGAATTCGAGCTTCCGATGCAGGGGGCCCGGGTTCAATCCCTGTTTGGGGAACTAAGATCCCCGGTGCAGCCAAAAAATTAAAACAAACAAAAAATACCCCCCAAAATAAAACATCAAAGGAAAAGCAACTCAGTGAAGGATCAGAAGATGTGACAAGCACGTCACAGAAGAGGGTGTGCGAATGACCAGGGGCTATAGGTGTCGGTGGTGGCTGGGAGATGCTGATTCCACTGGGGCCCACATGTTCTCAGGTGTGCGGCCAGCAGAAGTGAGAGCCTGGCCCACCGCCCGTCGCTGCTGAACAGGCACAGGGTCCTGTGGTCACGTGGATGACAACATGGCAACGAGCAAGCCCACACCTGGGAGTCAGGTCCCCACAGACTGAGTTGTAGCCCAGCGTTTGGTGATGGGTAGCCGAGCGGCCGTCGCCTGGGGTGGGTGGTACTGACCAGCCGCAGGCCCCTGGGTGTGCGGTGTCCTGTTCGGGCGGTGGTTCCCAGGTCTGCCTGCAGGTAAAAGCTCACCGAGAGGTACACTTAAGGTGTGTGCACGTCACGTGTGGCTCAAAACCTTCCGGAAGTAATTTGGACACATCATAGCTTCACTATATTCTGACACACGAAGTGACGGATTAAAGACTTGAGTGCCCTTCTGGAGGAACCTCCCCTCTGTACTGACCTGCAAGCTGCCAGTGCCTTCGGTTTGCTGGCAGTTCCTTGGTGTCCTGTGCGTTATCTTGAAATCGTTCTGGAACGTCCACTGGTCGGTGGTGTTTACGACAGGTCTGATTCTCTGCAGGGCTGCGCGGAGACGTGGCTTTTCCTCTAAGGCTGCTTTGCTGAGTGGTATTCTTGTATGTACGTTTCTGCAAAGCTGTAGCTCAGTGTTACTGAACTTCATACTTTAGATAATCTGGTGCCAACTTCTGACGTCACTTCCTCATTTTTGAGCTTGCCGTTCATCCTGGACACTTGGTTCCAGACATTTTTAGGGCAGATTGGTAGGGAGTGTCTGTTTCAATTTGATGCTATTTGTGCTTTTTCGTTTATTTCAATTACTTTTTCTCTATGTGGATATTTAAGGCTTTATCAGTGTGTTTATGAGAGTCAAACTACATGGCGTTGAAAGGTTTTTCTAAGACAATATAGACTGTAAACCACGAGTTATGAAAGTGTTAGCTTCTTTCCCATGTGAAGTTATTGTTTATTTATTTGTTTTTTGCGGTACACAAAAACTGTTGTGAGGCTGGGCCTCACTGTTGTGGCCCCTCCCGTCGCGGAGCACAGGCTCCGGATGCGCAGGCTCGGCGGCCATGGCTCACGGGCCCAGCCGCTCCGTGGCACGTGGGATCCTCCCGGACCGGGGCGGGAACCCGCGTCCCCTGCATCGGCAGGCGGACCCTCGACCACTGCACCACCAGGGCAGCCCAATGTGGAGTTATTTTAATCATAAGTCAATGAAAACTTTCCTCAGTACTGTTCATGAAAGTAGTGGGCTGCATGGTGCCCTCCACCCAAAAGACACGTGCACATCCTAATTCCTGGTACCTGTGAATGTGACCCTATTTGGAAAAAGGGTCTTTCCAGACATAATTAAATTAAGGATCTTAAGATGACATAACCTTGGAATATCCAGTTGGTCCTAAATCCAGTGATGGGTGTCCTTATAAGAGACAGGAGACACAGACACAGAGGAGAAGCTACGAGAAGATGGAGGCAGAGACGGGAGAGATGCAGCCACAAGCGCAGGGACGCCTAGAGCCCCCAGAAGCTGGAAGAGGCAGGAAGGGCCCTCCCCTGGAGCCTCTGAAGAGAGTGCGGCCCTGCCCACACCTTGACCTCAGATGTATGGCCTCCAGGACAGAGAGGACAGGTGTCTGTTGCTTTAAGCTGCCCAGTTTGTGGATATTTGTATTAGCAGGAAACTAATACATTAAGAAAACACCAAAATTTGGGACTTCCCTGATGGCGCAATAGGGGTAGGTTCAGAAGCCGCAGCTGTGTGCCCAGTGGAGGTGTGGGGTGGGGGTCACGCTCATGTTCGTGCAGCTGAATTGTGTTTCTGGGGAAAAAGTACAGCACTTATGTAGAGATGAGTGTTTTTTTAACATGTAGGTCTGAATTGTTAAATGCAGGCTAGAGTAAATACGTCAGATTTTAATTTTATGTTTATAGAAGCAAGATAGAGAGCAGAAAATAACTCAAAAAAGTTATTTGAAATAAAATAACCTAAAAGCTTGTCTCCTCACCTGCCTTTTCCATCCTAGAGTGGGTGGTGCACTTGCTGTGTTCCGTGCTGACGTGAAAACCGGGGTCTGTGCTGGGGGAACCGGCGGGAGGCAGGTGTCGGGGGCCGTGCTGCTGCCTCGTCGACCAGGCGGGTCGGGCCGGGCCTGGTGGTCAGACAGGAAGGGAGACGTAGAGTGGGGGCTGCCAGGTGCGGTCCATCCAGACGTGCCAGGCTAGGTGCCCTTCCCTCTGTCCTGTCATGGACCCTCACCCGGGCCCACCTGTCTGCGGGCCCTCCGTGGGGATGCTGGAGCCGCCACCCGGGAAGGGCTGCTTCCTCGCGGGTCCAAGAGCTGCCGGATGCTCTGGTCGCCCCTGCAGCTGGGACCCCAGCCTACAGCCTTGCAGGGAGCAGCTCTGCTAACAGCGGTGACCGCCATCTGTGTCCCGCGTACCGGAGCATGGCCTTGGCCCTCGGGAGGACTGAGGGTGCGTGGCCCACGGGGCCCGACGGCCGGCATGGCCCACTCCTCAGGATTTCTCTCCAGGGGCAAAGGTTCTTTTGTAAGCACTTTGCTGAAGCATTGTTCGCAAGGGTAAAAAAATGGAAACACTTTACACGTTTGTTGAACAAATCATGGTGTATTCGCACATTTAAGAACTTAACAGTTGAAAATCGTAGCACGAAAATGTGGTCACAGCCGTCACGCTGTGAACTGTGGCCGCCTTGTGTGAAGGGATACGGGCGACTGTCCACACCTCTTGCCTCTCGTCTGCCCCAGCTCCCAGCCACATGCACGTCGAAAGCTCCTCCACGTGAGAAAATGCCTTACTTCTTAGGACAGGGCTTGGATTCTCAGAGACACCTGGTGACTGCCCAGCCTTTGTGGGGACGTGGGGCCCCTTCTGGGTGCACAGACACCGTCAGGCAAGCGGGCGGCTGGGCCCCAGGGGTGGCATCGTTCATGAGCTGTGATGGGGTCCGCACAGCCGTTTTGCGGCAGTGATGGCCTCCCCTAGTGAAGGTGTCTGGCCTGCGCGCGGACGGGTCATCCTGGGCGGTGTGTCCCTGGTGCCTGACATCCATGGGTGCGGGAGATGCCAGAGTGAGAGCTCTTGGGTCCATGAGAATGGCCAGGCTCCTGGCAGGCCCTGCAGACGGCCTCACTGACCCATGTTCTGGAAGATAAAGAAATCTGGTTGCTTGATTATTTAGGCACCCTTTAAGATGTCTCAGGAGAAAATGTACGGAAGCAAAATAAAACGTTACACCCAGTGTTGCCTGGTGTGTTTCAGGGATGGAGGTGCAGAGTGAACGCCAGCCTCTCGGTGCTCAGGGGGCCTGGGTGTGTCCGGGGCCTTGGGCTCCGTGTCACTGCAATGCACCTTCCAGTTGGCACCATTTCCATGGCGACCTGCCCGGGGCTGGGTCTGAGCACCGGAATGGATTGGAGGCCTGGGGCACGCTTCACGCTTCGCGGAGACGCCGGCGAGGGCCCTTCCCCCGTGTGACGTGTGGGGTGGCCCAGGGTTGGGGGAACTGGGCAGGATGGAGCCGTCCCATCGTTTGTGCAGTGGCCTGGCCGGCTCCCTCGAGCGAGAGAGGTCGGCTTTGGTCACCTTAGCTTCTCCGCACGCTGTGGGCTGTCACGTTGCAGCCTCTGTTCTCTTGTCTGCTTCCCTCTGGCACTTCTCGGGGCAGCTGTGACCGTGGCCAGGGCCTGCCAGGCACGGACATTTCGTGGGGTCTGACCAGGGGTCCCACTGCTGCTGGTGTTCGTTCCTCCCGCCTGCCTGCCTTTGGCCTGACCGTCGGGACCCTTGGTCTGTCCCCTGGGTGCAGGTGCTGGGGTGTGGCCGGTGAGCACTGTGGGTGGTGTGAGGGCTGGGGTCCGCTTCCAGAGGCCCGAGAGCAGGCATCTGACCCGGGCTCCCTACCCAGGACGAAGTGCCATCGAGCACCTGGGGGCTCCCAGCAGCCCTGGTGAGCTTGGGACGACCAACCCAGGAGGCCTTAGGTCTGAGTCCTCGATGGATGCCCCTTGGCTCAAGAGGGGGTCACTGTGGTGTCCGCGGGTGCTCAGCACAAAGGGCGTCACTCGGGGTGAGCTGCCCAGTGCCCGGGGTCCTCGCAGAGCGGGACTGACCCCACGGACCCCAACCCCTGCCCTCCCCCCGAGCCCCGTGGAATGTGGCCCCGGCCCAGGGGCCCACGGCATCACTCCCTGAAACGTGGGGAGGGACAGCTTGCTGCGTGTCGGGGGCTGGTGGCCTCTCGCTGGGCCGTGTCCACCAGGTGGCACCCCTGCCCTGGCGGCGGCGGCCGTGCGGACACGCGGACGGGGCGGAGACGAGTCCGCGCTCCCGTGTCTGGTGATTCCGCGCGTGCGCTCGTGTGTTTCAGGGGCTGACGCGGGAGGTACCGGCTGATCTGAGAGGCGCGCTTTCTTAGGACGTGGGAGCAGCCCTCTCTGCTCCGGGCCGGGCCTGGCTGGAGGCTCTGGAGCCGCAGCCCCACGGGGCCACCGGAGCGCGGGCGGTGGGCGGGCTGTGCAGGGCCCGCGGGCTGACCAGCCGCCCCCTGTCTTGCAGTGAACGAGTTCACGGTCCTCCGAAAGAAGTTCCGCTGCCCCCACTGCAGCTTCGCGGCCATGCACCAGTGCATCCTCAAGAGACACATGCGCTCCCACACGGGCGAGCGGCCCTACCCCTGCGACATCTGCGGCAAGAAGTTCACGCGGCGCGAGCACATGAAACGGCACACGCTGGTGAGCGGGCGCGGGGCCCTCGTGCGGCCAGCGGGGGCGGGCCAGGCGCGCTCCGCATGGGGCTGCGGTGTGCGGGCGGGGCGGGGACCTGGGCTGTCCAGGACGCCGCGGGAAGCCCCAAAGTGGGGTCCGCCCTGCGGTGGGAAAGGCCAGGACGGGGAGACACCCCAACCCCACATCCCTCCTGAGCAGCTCTGCCCCCGGCCCCAGGTGCAGGAGGCAGGTGAGCACATCGCCCCGCAGCCCCACTCCTCAGCTTCCCCTTCGGGGCCCCCGCTGCTCCAGCCCAGCATCTGCAGGTGCTCCCTAACCTGCCAGGACCCTGCCCCCCGCCCCCGGCTCCTGCCACGTGGCCGCTTCCTCCGCCCACCCTGCAGTTGCCGTGGGACCCTGGCCCCTCTCCCCCGCAGCCCCTGGAAGGTTCTGACGGCCTGGCTAGCAGCTCAGGAACAGGTGCTGCGCAGATGAATTTGCTTGGCCGGGAAGTGATAGAAAAGGTCGCCCTTGAAACAGGGAGGCAGATTCATCGAAACACAGCGTGAGGAACCCTTGGGTGGGTGAGAAACGAGGGAGGCCAGGCGGCCGGGGCATGGGTGGGGAGAGGACGCTGGGGTGATGTCATGAGTGAGGGGGCCTCAGGGCCACACGGGCTGGGCCGGACCCCCGCAGCACCCTGATCCTCTGACCAGCAGGATGGGTGGAGGGGCCACATCCCTGCGGCGAGGGGGGCCGAGGCGAGACCTCAGGGGTGGCCCCAAAGGGGTGAGCCACACGAGGGAGCGAGGGACAGCCCACGGCCTGGGCCTCATTTGGGGCTGGGCTCCCCGGGGAGGCTCCCTGAGGCCAGGTGGAAAAGCTGGAGGGGGAGGCAGCCCTCGGAGCCAGAGCCCAGGCTGGCGGACTCCCCCCGAGGGGCAGGTTTGCAGGGCTGGGAGGCAGCTGAACCTCCCCTGACAGCAGAAGGGCAGCTTGTTCCTGCCCCGCCCGCCCCAGGAGGCTTAGCCAGGGGGCAGGGGGCAGGGGGTGGTCCCAGTCTCAGCAGCCGCCTCCCCGTGGAGCCCGAGTACTGGGTCTCCACGGCGCCCACATCCTTCCCCGCCCATCCATGCGTTCACTGGGATGAGTGTCCGGCCATCTGGTCCCGGAGGACAGGCTCCGTGGCTCCGTGGCTCCCTGGGAGCTGTCCCCACTGCCCAGCCCTGCTGTGACCAGACTGGGGTCTTTGTTCTTTGCAGAGGGTCCCGGAAGCCCTGGGTTTAAAATGTAACAAATGAAAAAGACCCAGGAAGGGTCCCGGGAGCCAAGTGATTTGAGGCTTCGTTTCTGGAATCAGAACCTGTGAGGCAGCCCAGCTCCTCCTGACGTCCGACCAGGGCGCATCCGGCCTCTCGCCTGCCTAGGCTGGTTGGCAGCAGTCGTAGGTCCTCGTGGTCGGGTTTCAGGGAAGGCTGTGATGGGGCAGACGTTCACGGTGGTCTGCGGGACCGCTGAGCTGGGAAGCCAAGGGCGCTCGGCCAGGCCTGTCGGTTGGAGAATTCAGAAAGGCAGGAGGCAGCATTCAAGCAGCAATCACGGTCCCCCTGAGACCCCCGACCCTGCCGCCCCGCGGGCTGGGCACTCAGCCCAGCTCCCGGCTGTCCTGACGGCTTCCCAGAAGGCCGTCGAGTCCCTCTCGGTCACTGCTGTCCTGGGCTCCCATCACCCGTGCCCCCAGGCACCCCAGGCCCAAGCTGGGAGCCACCAGAGCCCTGGCCATCCCCTCATGGGGCAAAAGCGCGGGCGGGGCGGAGGTGAGTGCTCTGCCTTCTTTGCTGGGAGGTGTCGGGGCAGCATGACCCCCAGTGAAGATCTGAGCCCTGGGCAAGCCCCTGGGGTGGGGGGGGACATGGCCGGCCTAGTGCCCAGCAGCCTTCTGGACGGGGATGAGTTTTGGTGGCACCTGCAATTCTGTGTGTTCCGGCTTTGTGCAGCAGTCCCCCACCAGGGCTAGGGGTCTGAGCAGCCTAGCAGACTGCCCCCCACCCACCCAGATCTCAGCTTCTGGGCCACCTAGACCTCCCCCTCCACACACTAACAGTACGTCCCCCCGCACTGACCGCCGTCCCCCCACAGGTGCACAGCAAGGACAAGAAATACGTGTGCAAGCTGTGTAGCCGCGTGTTCATGTCGGCCGCCAGCGTGGGCATCAAGCACGGCTCGCGGCGCCACGGCGTGTGTGCCGACTGCGCGGGTGGGGGCGGGGCCGGGCCCCTGGACGGCGGCGGCGCCGAGGGCTCCCCTGAGCTGTTTGCGGGCGACGGGCCGTACCTGGAGGACCCCGAGGACCCCCGCGGCGAGGGAGAAGAGCTGGGCGAGGACGAGGACGACGCGGGCCTGGCCCCCGAGGACGCACTGCTGGGGGACGACAGGGAGGCCGAGGACTCGCCGCGGGGGCCTCGCAGCCCTGCCCGGGGCACCGACAAGGACTTCACCTGGATCTCCTAGGCTGGGCCGGGCACTGGGCCGCCGCGGCCGCCCCCCGCCTGCGTGCGCCCCGCGCCCCCTTCACCTGCTCTCCCGCACCCCTCGAGGACACCCGGGGCTCAGAAGCAGGCGCTGCCCCAGCGAATGGGGCTGGGGACGCGCGCGGGGCGGGTCTGAGCCCAGGGAGAGCCCTTGTCACCTCCCCCAGCAGGGGCGCGGGGGGGGCATCAGGGGTGCCCAGGACGCACCGGTCTGGCGTCGCACGCACCGTGGCCTGTAGCCCGGAAAGGGCCAGCGCTGGCTGGGGTCCCGAGTGTGGCCCGGAGGCCCGGGTCCGGGAGCTGTTAGGAGAGTTCTCCTGACCCTGGGCCCCGTCCAGGGCCGAGTCCCCCTGCCTCCGCTCCCCCTTCTCAGCAGTGGGGTCACTGCTGGCGGCTGCCGCTGCCCCCCGCCCTCAAGGGCTGTGCCGTCCGGTGGCAGCCTGCGAGATCCAGGTCTGGCATCCAGAAAGCTCCGCGGCCCCCCTGCCTCTGGGCTTTGGTGCTCAACACACAGCAGCTGCCGACCTCTGCCCAGGGTGCCCAGGTGCTATCCCCCCACTGAGGCAGCTGGGCGGGGGGCCCAGGTGCTCCCACCGTAGGGGCCTCCTCTTTCTTTGTGTGCACTTCTCTGGGCTGGCTCGCCCCTCCGCCCCTCCCGTCCTGCCATGCCCAGGCCACTCCTGCTGACCATTCTGGGCGGCTCGCCTTCGTTGCTGCTCACGCCGCCTGCGGGGGCCGCCCCTCCCCAGGTGCTCGGGCCCCGGTTCCGTGAGTAGCTAAGGAAACAGGCTGGCACGTAACATGGTCTGTTCCGTGTTATCTTTCCCGTTGACGACACTCGCAGACGTGTCTTTCCTTTGGTTCCTTCCCTAGCCCCCTCGCCGTCTTTTAAACACGCCTACGACCACTTCTCTGTCTTTTTTCTGAGAAGCCAGGGCCCCGCCGTGTGCTGTGAGGACACTGTGGGCCCAACCCCGGCCTGTCTCCCTTTCAGGCTCGTGACACATACATTCCATCCCCTCCACCCACCTCGCTTGGGAGCCCCTGCGGGACACCGTGCCAGGGCCCCTTGGGTGCTGAGCTAGAGCCGAAGGAGACACTGGCTTGATTTTCTCTCTCCCCACAGCCTGCAAGCCGAATGGCTTTACTGCATTTCTCCCGGGTCCCATCTGCTCTTTCTAGGTGGGGAAAGGCAAATCCCACAGAACCCTCCTTAGTAAGTGGCTGGCTGCGTGGACACGGACGGGTGCTGTCCTTGAAGCCCTGTCTGGGGAGGAGTCACCGCTTCGTTTTTTGTTTTGCTTCGTTTTAAACGTAGCCACCTTTCAGTCAGAAGAGGGCTGCCCTCCCATCCTCGGCTGGGGACGCTGCGAGCTCCTCAACGCCGGCATCCTTAGGGAAGGGCCGGGCCGGGCCGGGCCAGGGGGCAGGAGCCCGGGGCGGGTTGGGGTGCCTCCGGGGCCGGTGCCCCGGTCTACCTTTCACAGTGGGGCCCAGCTGAGCCCCTCAGTGGGGCTCCCCACTGTGTACCTTTCCCCCACTTTCTAACCCCTTTTATAAACAGACTTACTTTCTTATCAAATGCATTTGGAAACCAGACCTTTGCTACCAAGTGTCTCTGGGTTTTGTATGGGGCCACCTCTCAGCCCGCCGCCCGCGCCCCGGGCCACCTTTGCGCCACACTCAGGACCTGCTCGCTCCCGCTCTGGACCGTCCTGGCTGACTTTTAACGGGGCCCTCAGTGCCACAAGGGCATTTTCTTCCTCAAAACAATACCCTGGAAAACCGAGGGTCCCACCTCCCGCCCCCGAGCCCCGTGCGTTCATTATTCTCGTGTGCGGTCAACTCGAGAGCTGGATTTCAGAGATGCAGGCGAACACATCGCCTCCAGAGGCGTGGAGGGAAAGACGTGTAACGAAGGTTTCTTTTTTAACGTGATCTTTTTTTTTTTTCAAATCAATGTTTAAACTAATAAATATTTTTTTATGAAGCGGAAAAGCGTGTAGATCACATCTCACATTTTGTACCTTTCCGTCTGTGTGCGTCTGTGTTTGGTGTCTGCAACGCCGATGTGGGACGCGGTCCAGCGGGTGGCAAGGTCTTTGGGGGTGGGGGAGGGGCGGGGGAACCAAGATTTTTGTATCGAGCTCTGGATCCTGACCGGGTTGTATGCTTGAACTCTGGGTTTGGGAACAGTCACAACACTGCCAGGACTGGACAGGGACCTCAACTGAAAGAACACAGCTACTGCTTCCAACTTTGCACATCTTCCTTTTTAAAAAAGAGAACTCTGAAAAAATGCAAAAACTGGAAATTTTTGCAATATTATATGAAAGATAATCTTATTTTCGCTCATTCTGTGACATGTGCAACTCTTAAGAAAGCCATACTTAATGGTGTTTTTATTTTTTAGATCCTATATTGTGTTTTGTATGTGGCCCTTTTTAGAACTACTTGTAGTGAGGGCGCTGTGTGTGTGCTTTTCTTAAATATTTATTTTTTCAACATGCTTTCAACCTGTCAACACAAACAAAACAGACAGAAAAAGGGCAGTGTTTGAAGATTGTTGATTTTTTTCTGGGGATAATCTATATTATATGGACTTTTATGAATTATTATAAACCTGTGTTTGTATTGGAGATGTGTTCCATATCTGGGGGAGTCTTTTGTAACTGGCCAGTGGGCCATCACGGCCGTCGCCTGCTTCCCCGGAGCCGTCAATGGCCAACAGCGCCTCCTCCCTAGTGGTCTTGAGATCTGTCTGCCGGGTGCACTCCGGGCCCACCTGTGGGTCTCCTTTCTGTGACGGGATTAGTTAGACTTTCTTGCAAAGCGATCACTTTCAATAAACTGGGAAATTGCTGCTTGAGCAGATGCCTCGTGTGTGCTTCAGATAGCATCTCCTCCTCCGGCCTCACCCTGGGTAGAGGGGGCCAGAGAGTAACCCCCACCCCCAGCCCTTTGTGGCCTGGTTGTTGGCCTCCTGTCTGCCCACTGCCATCCCTGCCCATGACAGGGTCCCGGCTCCGTGTCCCTCCCCCCAGGAGGCAGACACAGCTTTTGGAAAAATCCCAAATCTTTAATGTTACTCCTCGCCTGGTTCAGCCCAGACGTGAGACACCTGAGCTTGGCAAACACGGTACAGATGTCCACCCGGGCCCTCAAACGGTCAGATTAAGTGCGGGCAGGGGCGCCCCCTCCCCGACACCCCTCAAAGTGCATCGAGGACGGCCCCGTGTGGCCCCAAAGCGGGGCCCGTCACACCCCTGACAAGTCCGGGGCCGACAGGTGGGGGGCGGCCACCCCTGGGGACCCCGGGCCAAGGGGACAGCTGTGAGGTTTGGCTTTAGTGCAAAAGGCCAAGAGGCTGGTTTCTTCAGAGGCACTTTGAGTGGTGGGGCCGCCCCCCACCGGTTAAACAGAAGACCCTGCAGCTCGGAGAGGCCCCGGGGGGCGGGGCTCAGTCCAGGAAGCGCTGGCAGGCCTTCTTCCAGCGGCAGGCCGTGCACCACAGGTCTCGGTGGTCCACGCCATACACTTTCCGGCACTTCTTGGCGTCACCTCGGGGCTTCCTGGGGGGACACATGGGGGGCGTGGGGTGCTGTTGGGCCGGGAGCCTCCCTGCCCGGTGCCTTCCCCGGCCCCTTTACACACACACGCACCTCGGGTTGGCACCGGGCTTGGCGGGCAGGGCTGGCGCGCAGGCCCTGACCGGGATGGGCTGTGGCTCCGGGTGGATGGGTGCCAGGCAGCCCTGAGGGGAGAAACCGCTGTGGCCTCGCACCCCTCCAGAGCCACCTGAGGCCTCACCCACCTGGTAAGCGGGGTCACTGGGGCACACCTGGGGAGCGGGCAGGGAGCTCAGCACCGGGGGCGGGGGAAGGGCGGGTGGGCGCAGCAGGCTGGGCAGGGCCGGGGGCTCCAGCGGCTCCAGGTGGGGGAAGGCGGGTGGCACGGAGGCCGTGGGGGACCCCGGGGTCAGGCCAGACAGCCCATCAGTCAGCGAGTCCACGCCGACATCCAGCTCCGTGTAGTAGAAGTCCTCCTCGCCGTCGCTCTGCTCTGGCTCTGCCTGCCGCCTGCTGGGGGGCGGGGGGTGGGGTGCGAGCTGACGCAGAGGCCTGCCTGGCGCCCCCCCCCCCCCCCCC